TAAAAGCACAAAACATTTGTATGAGCAAAATATATAACCAATATCAAAATAATATTGAAAAAGTGGAGGATGTTTGCGTTAATTGAGCAATTGGTTAGAAAAATGAAGAATTTGGGTCTTAGGCAAAGCAAGTTCAAAACCCCTAGCTTACAAAGTAGATTTGTATCCATAGCAATAAACATGCTTTCTCATGATTTTTTAACAAACAAAAACGTAAGAGCAAAGTGTTCTGGCTTTGCAAAGGGTTTCCAAAATAAAATAAGAGTAAGAGCAATAGCAGCAATGATGAATAAAAGGCTCGCTTTGTACTTGTAAATTACTTTCTTTCCAGTGGGCCATTGCTGTCCTACTCCAGCCCCCCCCCCCCCCCCCCCCCCCCCCCCCCCCCCCCCAAAAAAAACATTTTTCAGTTTTGTGCAAAGTGGGCAGGTTTAAATATTCCGTGTCTGTCTTGACCTGCTGTCAGTTTAACAGCAATGCCCGTGTACACATGCCCTTAGAAATGTTGGGGTTGATTTAATAAAAGCAAATAGACTGTGCACTTTGCAAGAGCAGTTGCTCCAGAGCTAAGTAAATGAGCAGAAGCTCTGCTGACTTCCATCATCCAATCATGTGCAAGCAAAAATGCTGTTTTTTTATTTTCCTTGCAGGTGATTGGGTATTCTTTGCAAATTGAAGCTTTACCTCATTTACTAGGCACTGCAGCAACTGCACTTGCAGAGTGCAACTACATTTTCCAAAGTGCACAGTCTATTTGCCTTTAGTAAATCAACTGCAAAGTGTCTGTGTCCCTTCCTCACATTACATCATCCTATAGCTGGCACTGCTACTGCTGTAAGAGGGAGGAAAGAAGCTCACACAACTGACAGCAGTATCTCTTAGGGCTCGTTCACACTTGGCTGTTTTACCAACGCTTGCCAAACGCCCCTATAGCTTTTGGCAAGCATTGGTCTGGCGTTTGCGGAGTGTTTTTTTAACGCTCGGCAAACGCTCCGCAAACGCCGCATGCACGGTTTAGCGGTGGTTGCTAGGCGTTTGTCGAGCGTTAAAAACGCCCCACAAACGCCTATAATGCAACTTGGTGTTACCGCTCCGCAAACGCCCCGCAACCGCGTCGCAACCACACCGCAAATGCCGGCCGAGTGTTTGCGGAGCGGCACCATAGACTAGAATAGGAGGCTTCAAAGCCTCCTGACTCAACCAGAGGCGTCCGTTTTGCCGTGATGCGACGCAAATGCTCCCGTTAGAACAGCACCATGTGCTGTAATGTGCAGAATTGGCAGAGGCGTTTGGGAAGCGGTAAAAAAACGCTTCCCAAAACCCCTCTCTGCCGCCTGCACACAACGCTAGTGTGAACGTAGCCTTAGGGCTCCAGCAGGGAAAGAGAGAATCATCATTGAACCCCATCTTTAGATACATCATTGGCTTTTTATTTCCCTTGAAGGTTAGGCAGAACTAAAAACTCCGGCGCCAATATCTCACCATGCAAAACAACATCACCTATAATATCAATATCATCTTTGGCAGGTTAGTCCACCCCAATTTGAAATTCTGCTGAAATGAGACGTCTTGCGTTAGTTCCCATTTCTATACAAGCTCATCTTGAAGTTCTGGGATGATCAGACCAACTTGTTGGTCTTTCAACTCCCCTGTTGCAGTCTTTATAATATGAAATAAAATAAAAGTTAGCAGCAAGACTATGTCTGCTCATTATTGTGTGGGAGGTGCACACACCTGTAAACGTGAGCGTAGACATACACTATATTGCCAAAAGTATTGGGACGCCTGCCTTTACACGCACATGAACTTTAATGGCATCCCAGTCTTAGTCCGTATGGTTCAATATTGAGTTGGCCCACCCTTTGCAGCTATAACAGCTTCAACTCTTCTGGGAAGGCTGTCCACAAGGTTTAGGAGTGTGTCTATGGGAAGGTTTGACCATTCTTCCAGAAGTGCATTTGTGAGGTCAGGCATTGATGTCGGACGAGAAGGCCTGGCTCGTAGTCTCCGCTCTAATTCATCCCAAAGGTGTTCTATCAGGTTGAGGTCAGGACTCTGTGAAGGCCAGTCAAGTTCCTCCACCCCAAACTCGCTCATCCATGTCTTTATAGACCTTGCTTTGAGCACTGGTGTGCAGTCATGTTGGAACAGGAAGGGGCCATCCCCAAAATGTTCCCACAAAGTTGTGAGCATGAATTTGTCCAAAAATGTCTTGGTATGTTGATGCCTAAAGAGTTCCCTTCACTGGAACTAAGGGGCCAAGCCCAACCCCTGAAAAAACAACCCCACACCATAATCACCCCTCCACCAAACTTTACACTTGGCACAATGCAGTTAGGCAAGTACTCTTGGCAACCACCAAACCCAGATGTCCATCGGATTGCCAGACAGAGAAGCATGATTCGTCACACCAGAGAACACGTCTCCGCTGCTCTATAGTCCAATTGTGGCGTGCTTTACACCACTGCATCAGATACTTCACACTGCACTTGGTGATCTAAGGCTTGGATGCAGCTGCTCAGCAGTTTTCCCCAGTTGCCTCCACTTTGTTATAATACCACTAACAGTTGAATATTTAGTAGCAAGGAAATTTCACAGATGGACTTATTGCACAGGTGGCCACCTATCATGGTACCACGCTTGAATTCACTGAGCTCCTGAGAGCGACTCATTCTTTCACAAATGTTTGTAGAAGCAGTCTGCATGCCTAGGGGCTTGATTTTATACACCTGTGGCCATCACCATACACCGGAGGCGATTGGAACACCTGAATCCAATGATCTGGAGGGGTGTCCCAATACTTCTGGCAATGTAATATATCCTCCACCACTGGTACTACCAGCATCTACCAACTGATATGTGGATGGACCAGCCATTGACATATACATACAGCATTTTCTGTCATGTAAATTTTTTTCAATCCAAATTGTAAAGCATAAACTACTTATGACTAATTCACACTTGGGCATTTTCAGCCTGTTTCCCTATGCCCTATTGTTCATCTCAGTGCTGCTTGCCTCCTGCAGCCACTTCCTGTCTACATGCACTCCAGCAATGGCTGCATAGGGGTAATATTCCTTGTGGTGACAACAGTGCAGCATGCTGTGCAATGTGTGTCAAACTGGCCACTTGTAGTCTCCATCAGAAGCCAGTATGTGACAACAGTAAGTGACAACATAGAAGCATTATTGAGAGACAGGGATGGAGCATTGACACGCCTTAACAGGAAGTACTGAACCAGAACCTTCATTGCAGAATCACCATTTTTTTAAACGAAATCTGTATATTGAATTGAAAAAAATAAGTATATATTGATATATTGAATAAAAAAATACTGAAATCACTAAAGCTACAATAACATATTGAAATTTATAACGTAGTAATTGGTTTTATATGCACTTTTGAGCCTAATGTGTGTACAGTATTGCTGCCCCTTAGCACCCAAAATGCAAATCACTTCTATCTTTGACATGGATGTAAAATTTTACTTTTGTTCTTTTGCTTCTCCAGTTTGTTTACATTTTGCATGCATTCCTTCCTCACTCATGGGAACGGGGATATCATTAAAATAACACCATACAGGGTCTCTTTTATGGCATGTGGCCATCTTCTGTTCTTTCTTTTAAAAGTCACATCAGTAAGGAGTCTATACCACAGAACTGTACCGCCTAAAGGCTTTGGAGAAATACTCTGATGAGATGTTTGTAAATGCTATGTCTGGCATTCCCTTACGAGTGTAAACTTCAAAACAATGTCTCATTTTATAATCTTTTACCCTGAGAACCGAAAGTATAGCCCACTCACACAAAGTGAGACCCGCAGTGCAAAACTGGTTCGAAAGTAAGTCCAGGCAGGGTCATGTGTTGCCAGCATGGGGATGCACTGGTGTTGTCTATTGGGATGAAGAGGGTGCAGGAGCAGGTGTATGACCCTGAATGTACCCTCGGTGAGTTCAGGGACATGCATCTGCACCCTGGGTGAGTTCAGGGACATGCATCTGCACCCTGGGTGAGTTCAGGGACATTCACCTGTACCCTCGGTGAGTTCAGGGACATGCACCTGTACCCTTGGTGAGTTCAGGGACATGCACCTGCACCCTGGGTGAGTTCAGGGACATGCACCTGTACCCTCGGTGAGTTCAGGGACATGCACCTGCACCCTGGGTGAGTTCAGGGACATGCACCTATACCCTTGGTGAGTTTAGGGACATGCATCTGCACCCTGGGTGAGTTCAGGGACATGCACCTGCACCCTGGGTGAGTTCAGGGACATGTACCTGCACCCTGGGTGAGTTCAGGGACATGCACCTGCACCCTAGGTGAGTTCAGGGACATGCATCTGTACCCTGGGTGAGTTCAGGGACATGCATCTACACCCTGGGTGAGTTCAGGGACATGCACCTGCACCCTGGGTGAGTTCAGGGACATGTACCTGCACCCTGGGTGAGTTCAGGGACATGCACCTGTACCCTGGGTGAGTTCGGGGACATGCACCTGCACCCTGGGTGAGTTCAGGGACATGCACCTGCACCCACACCCACACAGATATCATACTGGGACACAGCAGTTGTGTCCATTCAGGCGCTGTGTCCCAATAGACATCAATGGGACTACCCGCACAGGTGTGCTCTCCACAGGGGTACGGATGTGATCGCCCCTTGTGAATGAAGGGGTGTGGACATTTTTGAAAAAATGTATTGTCCAGGGACTAAATTGGTGCCCCAATCTACTTGTCTCTTATGACAATCTACTTGTTCTGATAGAAAAAATATACTTTAACAAAAACTGTATTTAAATCTGAGGTGCTTTAACCGCTTCCCGTCCACCCTATAGCAGAAGTACTGGGCGGCACAGGTGCGCAAAATCACGTATATATGCGTGATTTTGCATTTCCAGGTAGGGGGAGCGCTTGCACCATTTGTAGCCGCGGCTGTCGATCACTGGGTCCTGGCCGGTGATTACTCGCCGGTGCACAGTGATTGCCAAGCATCTCCGACAGAGGGGGGAGAGAACTGTTTGTAAACAAAACAGTTCTCTTCCCTGTCAGCTCCTGCACACTGCTTTGCATGGCTGTGCATAGCAGAGCCATGCAAAGCAGTGTGCTTACAGTGAAGCAAGAACACAGCCCAGTATGCAAAACAGCACACAACACACAGTTAACGCTTTGCTCGCCACACGTTAACCCCTTCCTGCCCAGTGCCATTAGTACAGTGTCAGTGCTTTTTATTAGCAGTGATCACTGTATTGGTGTCACGGGGATGTCAGTGACAGCAAGTCAATTCCCCCCAGTGTCAGAATGCCTGCCACAGTCCTGCAGTCCCACTATAAGTTGCTGATCGCCACAATTACTAGTAAAAATAAAAAAAGAAATAAAAAATCCCAGTATATATACTGCCATTTGCAGACACTATACCTTTCACGTAAACCAATTAATTTTACACATATTGGGATTTTTTTGTACAAAGACATGTAGCAGAATACGAATAGGGAGAACAACAGTGAGCGCTAGTCCTGAAAGCGGCTAAGCACTCTAAGCAACCAATATGTACTTAAAATGGAATAACATAAAAATAGTGCAGTGCTAAAGGTAGTGATAATAAGACAGATATAAGTCCACTAAAAGTCTTGGTCATAAGAACGTGTCCAGTGACAAATGAGGATTCAAAATTGGTGATCCGTGTGGAAACGGCTTAAAAACGCACTCAACAGAAGCAAGACACATAAACGCAGTGTGCATCTAGAGCTCATGGATCCTCAATCCAGAAGGGAATAAAGCTGGTCCAGTTACAGGAATGGTGGATCCCTCCTCTGTGGATGCAGCAACAGATCCTCCTCTTCCCAATTAGGTGTAGGATTCCAAGATCAGGATTCAGAAGCAAGACACATAAACGCAGTGTGCATCTAGAGCTGATCTTTTCTTTGTAACGCCACCAAGCTTCAGACAGAATCCTGATCTTGGAATCCTACACCTAATTGGGAAGAGGAGGATCTGTTGCTGCATCCACAGAGGAGGGATCCACCATTCCTGTAACTGGATCAGCTTTATTCCCTTCTGGATTGAGGATCCATGAGCTCTAGATGCACACTGCGTTTATGTGTCTTGCTTCTGAATCCTCATCTTGGAATCCTACACCTAATTGGGAAGAGGAGGATCTGTTGCTGCATCCACAGAGGAGGGATCCACCATTCCTGTAACTGGACCAGCTTTATTCCCTTCTGGATTGAGGATCCATGAGCTCTAGATGCACACTGCGTTTATGTGTCTTGCTTCTGGTGAGTGCGTTTTTCAGTCGTTTCCACACGGATCACCAATTTTGAATCCTCATTTGTCACTGGACACGTTCTTATGACCAAGACTTTTAGTGGACTTATATCTGTCTTATTATCACTACCTTTAGCGCTGCACTATTTTTATGTTATGTAGCAGAATACATTTTGGCCTAAATTTATGACGAAATTAGATTTTTTAAATTTTTTTACTGGACGTGTTTAACCCCTTGGCTCCGGCACCTCCTGGCCCTTTAAAGGTTTCAGAAGCTGGGGGGCGGGGTTTTAGGGTCATGTGACCGCCGTGATTCCCCATCACAGCGGTCACATGATCTGGAAAGGTCCCGATCTCCTCTTTCGATTGGGACCTTTCCCGATCATGTGACCACCATATGATGGTTTTTTTGGTGACAGATTGTCTTTATTGAGACATCCAGGGTCTCCCCTGTACTCCACTGGATGTAATGCAGTGCACATCACACTGCATTACATTCTTGAAATTTATCAACGGGGACCCGGAAGTGATGTCACATCACTTACGGGTAAGGACAAGAAGAGGAAGGGTGCGCCCTCCTCACTCCCTTATACCCGCCTTTCACCCACTGAACTTGTCCCAGACCTGCAGATGGGCAAGCGGAGCCCCGGAGACATAGCAGAAAGGGGGATGGATGGTGGCACCATAGTGGGCTGTGTGGAAGCAACACAGCAGCGCAGCTGCCCAAATGCTTCCACCTGAGAAGATGAACCCTGCTGCTTGCCCGCAGTAGGCCTAAAGGTTAAAAAAACCTATCTGCCTGGCACCCAGAACTACATATCCCAGGCGTCGGGCGATATAAATTGAACATCCCTGGAATGAGACCTAAAGACAGCCATGGACAGGTAGATTTGGTTTCATCCTCTGCTCACCCCAATAGCAGAGTGAAGGACTGAGCCCAATCACAAACAAATTATCCTGATGGGATGATGTCCAAGAACCAACAAGTGATTCTGACTGCTGAAGATGTTAATTATTACCACCTAAAGGTTCAACTAGCTGTGATTCTGGAGAAGGTTCCTAGCTGCTGACACCAGCCAGAACATGAAGCAACTTAAATAAGCATTACAAGATCGCAAAATGCTAAGAGAGAGCTGTCCCACAGAACCACTTAGAGTTGGACATAACTGAATGGATGATATCATCATCATCTTCATCACTATCATCATCAATCATCAGGGGTTAAACAGCCTGATCATTGCAAGTGATGCTTAAAGTGGAACTACAAAGCATCTGAGCAGCACAAACCAAAAACGCTTTTTAATTATTTATATATAAATAATTCATTATTAATATTCAAAGCAAACTCACCCACCCATGTCACCATGCTTTATTTTGCTGAGAAATAACTTTGAAAAACACCCCCTAGCATTTCAGGCTGTAGCCATCTTGAGTAAGGGCAGATGATTCATGTAGCATTTACTTCCTGGAATCCAGCTACCCTTAGCTCAGGAATGCAGAAAAGAGGGTGTGCTTAGCTGAGAAAACCCCTCATCCCCTCCTGGGATGTATGAACTAATTTGCATAGGAATGAAAACCAGGAAGTAACTGCAGGAATATAAGGCCCATTATCCACAGGTGGACAATGTCAGCAGAGTGGACATGGACACAGCCCGCTATCCTCTATGGGTGGCTGGATGTAAATGGATCACCTGTCCATTTACATCCGACTGTCATCCGATACGTTAGATGGAATGAGTTATGAATAACCTAAGCCTTCAAAAGTCTCACCCCCCCCCCCCCACACACACACACGTACACACCACACTTTATCTTCACCAGATTAAAGATTTCAGATTTGGCTAGAGTTCTCCTTTATCTGATTACATCTTTGTTTTACAATTAAACATTTAATACAGGAGAACAAATGACACTGGTGTTACATAGGCTATTTAAAGAGACAGCACAGTAAAAGCTGTTTACTTTCAGACTGTCCCTCTCTACTTTAAAGTCCACTTAGCCTTGTGCCCCTTGTTGCAGATATGGTACACCAGAACAGAATCACTGCTGCAAGTGTTTGTACAGCACAACTGATAAAGTGACCGTGTATCGTTGTGCTACACTGCACAGGAGGAAGTTATTAATATATTAGGTCTGAAATAACATCAGTGGGGGAACAGACGCTTCATCGATGGTGTCATTGGGTGGCTCTGTGCCCCTTCATTGGTGTCAGTGGAGGGAATTATGGCCCATTGGTAATATCAATGGATAAAATATTGTCCCTAGGACTGGATAAAAGCAAGTAAAGGGCCGCTTCCGGGCCCCCGGGCCACAGTTTGGAGACCACTGCCCTAGATTATTCGTTTGTGTATGAGCATATTAAAAAGCCTGTAGCTTACACTGCATCTGCAACACAACCAGGGGCGGACTGACCATTTGGAAACTCGGGCACTGCCCGAGGGCCCGAGGTCAGTAGGGGGCCCCAAGAGATGCCCCTGGTACCTTTTTCATAGGCTTTTTTGAGTTTGGGCAAGGACACAGGGGCCCCATGATCCCCTATTGCCCGGGGGCCCCATGAGTTGTCAGTCCGCCCCTGAACTCAACAACATATTCCAGATGTTCTTCAAAGACAGAAATCTTTATCAGCTAAATCAAAGCCTTACTGGATCAATGAAAACCTAAGCTTGAAATACAGGAGGATACTAAAAGTAATAGGTGGAAGCTGTGTGATAAGTAGTGCTGCACCTATGTAATCACCAGGGGCGGACTGACCATTTGGAAACTCGGGCACTGTCCGAGGGCCCGGGGTCAGTAGGGGGCCCTATGAGATGCCCCTGATACCTTTTTCATAGGCTTTTTTGAGTTTGGGCAAGGACACAGGGGCCCCATGATCCCCTATTGCCCGGGGGCCCCATGAGTTGTCAGTCCGCCCCTGGTAATCACTGTTTATTTCAGCTATGCTATGTCTAGTACATGCGTGGCATGGTTCATTTTATTTTGCCTATGCTCAGAGGAACTATGAAGCATCTGACATACCTCTGCTGAATATGAACTTGACATTCACCACAGTGAACATGTGGTGTCATCGATGCTTCATGTCATTGTTCTAGATATTTGCAGGTTGGGTGTCACACAAAATGTCATAGTATTCCTGAAGAAATTCTACTTCTTGTTTGCAATAAGAACAAACTGGATTCACACTTTAATTTTTCTGTGCAGCAGTGGGTAGCTGAAAAAACTCTTCTTCGTTTAGGTTTATGCACGGGACTCAGAGCTCATTCACAATTCTTCAAGCATTTAGGTGCACTCACGTTCTACCAGCATACTACTATACGACATACTAAAAATACACTTGCCCTATTTTTGGCAATGCAGCGCCCCATATTGCACAGATTGTTACCATCTACAGTATGTGTGCAAATTGGGTGCACTGTGTATGAGGGTAGTCCAATACAGCACTTGCAACACATTTCTGACAGCATGGCCATAGATGAGGACGGTGAAGGAAATTAAGACTAATATGTTTGCATGCACCACCCTCTACTCTCCTCAAACCAGTCACTGGTTACTAGGATGCTGTTGGCTACAAAGCATCACTAGTTGCTAGGATGATGTCAGCTGCACAGTGTCAGTGGTTGCTAGAATGCTGTCAGCTACACAGTGTCACTGCTTGCTAGGAAGCCATCAGCTACACAGTGCCACTACTTGCTAGGATACAGTTAGCTACACAGTGTCACTAGTTTCTAGGATGCCATTGACTACACGTCATCAGCTGCTAGGATGCTGTAGGCTACAAAATGCCACTGGTTGTTAAGACGCCATCAGATGCACAGCATCACTGACTGCTAGGAAGCTGTCAGCTACATAGCATCAGTGGTTGCCAAGAAACTGTGGGCTACATGGCATCACTGGTTGCTAGGACGCTGCCGGCTAAACGGCATCACTGGTTGGTAGGACACTGTTGGCTACGCAGTGTCACTGGTTGCTAGGAGGCTGTCAGCTACACGTCATCAAAAATTGCTAGGTAACTGTCAGCTACACACCATCACTGGTTGCTAGTGCGCTGTCAGCTAC